GGTTCTTGGGAAGGAGGAACAAAGAATGGTTGATCTTCCATTTTTTAAAAAATAAATAAAATCTATCACTCAAAAACTCTCTGAAACACACATGTGCACTGGGTAAGCAGAAAACAGAAACAGAGAGAGACGAGGCAGTCTGAAGGCTTATTGCCCTGCACCATTTGGGCCCATCATGATCAACCGGGACTTATTCTGGACACACAGTTACTGAAATGGATAGGACACACCTGTTCATTCAGGTGGGGCTTGAGCTGGATAACTTCCTTGTGGTTTGTGCCCTTGTCTTGCAACTGCTCCTAAGAGTCACCTACTCGCACCTGCTCTGGGGACCCTTGGTGAAAAAAACCCACATGTTCTGCTGTGTGTGTGCAGGTTCCAAAGCACTCTTGAAAGATTTATTTGTCGGATCAAAACAGCTGTCCAGATATTGCCACAGGCTCTGCATCTTCTCTTGCACTAGAACTGGTGAGTTTTCATTGAACATTAATGAGGTTTGGCCCATAGGAAACTTGGTCCTTTTAAACAAATATGGGAAAGCTACGTCCTTTCTTATGAAGCAGAGAAGTGTCTTCATAGGGATTGGAATAAGCTTGAGTTTGATACAGAGAAGCTTTAAAGCAAATCAACACATTTGCCATAGCTCAGACATATTTGATTGAAATCATGCCTGCTGGCATCCGTAAGACACGGCTCCAGCCATGGAGTAACCCTATAGCTACTTTAGGAAGGGGTCTGTTTATTCCATTTCCCTGAGCAAGGCCACTTTGCCAAGGATGGAAGGAGACAAGGCACAGAACCCCATTCTGTGGGCTGAAAATCCCATGGCTTCAAACACACTAATTTTAACGAGTGTTCCATCGAACGCAGACATATGCACGATGCGGGACGTGGAGTCTGTCTCTGGGAAGCACGTATGTAATGAATCTGTAGCAATCAGGTATCAGTACCTGGGCCAACAAACCTTGTCCTTAAGAGCCATCAGGATCAAATGCATTCAAACAACAGGTTGCTTCCGAAAGTTACTCCTGGTCCCAACATTGCTTCCAACCCACGGAACCAAAGCAAGAAAACATTTTTCCAGAGCAAAGCAGTGGATCCTGCCAGCGGCTCTGGACAGCATATTCTGCCCCTAAGTTGCGGCAGACAATGAAACCTTTTATTCAGCTACAGAAGTCATAATAAATGAGCTCACAGGGTGGGGGGCGAGGGGGGGGGAGAGAGAGAGAGAGAGAGAGACTACTCTGGCCTGTCTGGGATGAAAATTTGCTGTCAACAGAAGTAGAGCCGGGAGGGGATAATAAAATCATCCAAAGTACTAATCCCCAAGCCTAGCAAGAGGCCCCGTATGGCACTGCTGCCTGGAAAAGCCTTACCAATCAAGACCTAGACAGGACTGGAGGAAGCCATGGCTCAGTGCCGCGCTCTTGCCGCTTCACCGTGCAAAAAAGGACCGAGGCGGCAATGTTGGGCCTCAGATGCCAGGAAAGGCCGGCGACTAGTCCCCAGGAAGGCTCTCTCTCGGTAGCGTCTCCATCTATTGCTTCTTGTCTGGAGAACGTTTGCTTTCCCAGCCCCTGAAAGCCACCACTTGCTGCATTTATCTGCTACTTTAGGTTTTCCTTGTTGCATTGCTCTATTACGAATGCTATGGTTCTACTTATTTATTTGTTGTGTTTGCAAAACATCCTGCAACTCTGTTTATTCAAGGGCCAAACAGAAATTCTTCAAATAAACAAACGGTGCAGCACTTTGAGAAACAAGCCAGCTAGAATCACACACAGTTCGTCAGCCACAGAGTAGGAATCAAGATAAGCAAAATAAATTTCGCCAGTCTCACTAAGGGCCAAACCAGGCATGCTATTAAACACATCATCTGAAGCTCTGTTTTTGTTTTTCATTGTCACTGATGGGGATTAGATTTTCCTCAGGTCTGCAGTGCGCACGTTCTTCTTCCACTGTCCCAAGAAAAAGACTCCCATGGTACAAAGGTTATTTGCCCTAGAATGGAAGCCAATGGGAACTCCCTTCCTGGGCTAAAAGCAACCACAGACCAAGTGATCAGAACCACAACGAGGAAGGAAAACTTTCTGAAGGCCAGCCTGTGGCACACACCACAACTCCTGACTACTCAAAAAGAAAATGAAACCGTTTCAAGAGGCACATTGAGGATTCCCTCTGAGCCTAAGGTTGCTAAATCCAGCTGGCCTCGCTAATGCTCAGAATGTTCCCAGATATAATCTTGTATCTTTGGTCAAGTTGCAGAAGGCCGAGGCTCTGGCAACCGCAAATGCAGTCTTTAAACATGCAAGCAGCCGCTGCTGTTCCCGCTTTTTTCTTTGTGTGTGAATTTCAGTCTTTTAAAATTCAACATGAGGACCTGTGCAACACCCACCCACGAAAAGAACTCTGTTCTCAGGGACTAGTCAAGGTCCAGACACGTACAAGATTCCAAACAGTGAACTAAAACTATTCTTGGAAAATCATCCTCATAAGAACCGCCAGTTAAAATACCCACAACGGAATATGCACTTGGGAAATCAAAGAAGGATTTTGGGTTGATATTTTGTGTGCACTGGCCACCTATGACCGTCAAGGCAACATTACAAATTCCAGCAGTGCCCCCTCGTGGCCAATTTCAAATAAAACGCATGTTCTTTCCCACTAACGGAGCACTTCCCATCAGTCATCTCGCTTCCCAGACAAAATCTTTGCAAGTTAATTAAAACACAATGCTCTTTTATTCGACTTTCAGTATTTTTCCCCTTACTAAACTACACATCAGCTTCTTAGCTTATCCAAATCATGTATTAACCAGAAAGTAATTGCCTCAGAATTGATATTCAATTTCCAATAAACAACATTACTATTAGTTCCCTCAAATGCAAATTTTTATCTTTATGTCTAAATGTGTGGGATCTAATGTCCCACAGGAGTGAACAGGAAAACTCCTGCTGATGTTAACAGAACTGGAATGTGCTTGATGGAAGTGACCATTTTTGTACTGTTTAACCACTTGGGATGAATCATACAAAGTTCTACCAATCCAAGACACACGGCTGAAACACTAATATTTCAAACTGTAGAAAAGTGTCATACAAATACAGTTTTGTACTGTACTCATATGCAGTTTTGACTCTCTATCTTTAACCCACTCGGGGAGCCATGTGGCTAAGGGGGCAGTTTAGGAATCTAATAAAATCAATCAAAAATAAAATAAACAATACCACAATACTATCCACCAGTGGATTAAATATTCCTCATGAAATTCCTCAATACCTTCAGCTTTAAGTATAGCTGGTACTGCGGATGCAAGCACACAGAAACAGGGCCTCAATCTATGGTGTGCTAATTACGTATTTTAAGAATCATATGCTGTTGTGAGGATAAAATGGAGTTATGTAAGCTGAGTGTTTAGTAGCACAAGCAAACCAGGAATCCTGGCTTGTCTTTCCACTAACTGTCCAGGAGAACAACCATACAACAAGCTGTGTGTTTTTTCTCTGGTTTGCTAGGAGACAGATAAGTTATACTCCAACACCACCTTGCATTACGATATAGTTTGGCAATGTGAAAATGGAAGGCGCTTTATATAAAGAACAAATGGGATTTACTGAAAAACCAAAACCATTTTTCACTCCTCTTTTTTGTGCTCTCTCACCAAGAGAGGAGGCTGATCCAAACGAGACAAGAACGATTCCAGTGATGGGTAACAGGGACTGGTCAAGACCCCCACGCCCTGCATCCTTACCGAATTTTCAGTCGGCTGTGACAGATTGCATGGCTCTGTTTTAACAGGGGTCCCCATGCCAGGCTTTAAGAAACTTGATCAGGAGGACTGAAACTCTACTATCGGGAAGCGGTAACAGCGCCGCAGTAAGAAGCAGCCATCCATTTTACGAGATCTCCCCAGCCTGCAGTAAGCACAGGAAGATGAGCAGAAGGCAGGTAAACAAACAGCAGAGCATACCGGTGCTGGTTCTTCCATGGCCAAGGCAAAATCCTGCCAGATTTCAAACCACAGACGCTGACACCAGAAGCTACTTTTAGCAGCTCGACTCGCAGCCCAGCGGTGAAGGCCTCTGGCCAGAGACAACCTGGCCACACTTACCCAGACCCGGAGAGCCTCCTCCGCGCCTCCTCCCACTTGCACCTGCTCCAACTCTTAAGCACTCCAGAGGCCTTGCGGAGTTGTCTTCATAGGCAGTGGTGCAGAACAGGGCAAGCAAATCAGCCAGCCAGCCAGCCAGCCAGCAGACCTCCCCACTCCCCCCCCCACCCCACCCC